AAAATCCTATCCGCTAACTCAGTGGGTAATGTCATTCAAACCATAACTCAACGCCCGTCAAAACATCACAAAGGGTATCTAGAAGAGCTATTTTCTGCGTGACCTGTTGTATTTAACGTGCAGTAGGCGTAAATCCCACCTGTCACCTACAGCCTTAAGTGATGAATGCGTCCCAATTAATGTAATAGTCGGAATGAACGTTTGAGTTGGATGAATGGTCACAATCATGTTTAACAAATGCCAAGCACAGGTACTAGTGTGTTACATTGGACATGCAGCAAAATGTTACCAACAAAATGGTGATGTGTCTAAAGCAGGTTCTCTTCTCCAACAAAGTGCTGCACCGAATCTTCTGCTCGGTATTCCAGACGCACATCGGGACCGCCTTAGAAAGCACAACTGGCCTGAAACCACCGCTAATGGCCACCGTCGGTCATTAGTTGTACCTAGGGAGGCTATTGAGACGTATGTGCCCATCGTTGTTACATTGTGTGCGATTTAATGAGGCAGATTTTTAAGGAACGGCTCGTATGTTACCTCAGTAAGTGACGGATTACTGGAGATACTCAGTGATGAGGCGCTCCACTGCTCAAGATGCGTAATATCTCACCGTGAATATCTGACATGTTTATTAAGACACACTACCTGTGCGGCATACCTCAGAAGGTGTTACGTATATAAGACTCTCCAAAACCCCCAACTTTTTCTCGACTACTGGTGGGCGGTTTGCATCTCTTGCCCTCGATACATCAGTATCTCACAATCTGCAATTAGTTTTCATTATATAGCGGTGGAATTAACCACAACGATTTATGATCAACATCAGCAGCGCGTTTTAATTTCGCAACTACTTTATTTTTTTCCCAGGAAATACTTAAGAATAGATTCCTTTCTCCGTGCCTTTTCAAACATCGGCGGAAAATCTTTCATGTTGTTGATTTATTGTGTGCTGATACATGCTGCAGTAGGAGTACAAATGTCGACCTCTGTGTCCTGTAGGTCAAATGGTGAATCCTGATCCATCGGCATCTCTGCCGCTCCACCATGTCTAATCACTGCACCTTTGTTCACCATGCACGACATGAACTGATGGTATTGATGGCAAAATCCAACTCAATCCACATCTTTCGGAGACGCCTTCGGGCATAATCCCTCCACAGAATGCATCACTCCCATTATTACATATATGGGCTGTGGATCAGTTGATTAGTGGGATTTTGTATTCACGTCTAACGTAGACGTACACGTAGCAATATATAGGGGCAGGGCAGTGAAATGAAAATATATTTCCTACCAGTAGATTGATTCATTTCTTCGTGCGCACTGACATGACTTCTTCAGAAGACTGTGGCAGGTAAGTAACGTTCTGCGATGTGAGCGGAAGACGTGCAAGCAAATGCCAGACTCAATAACTGGCTAACGCGTGGAGAATAGAGAAACACCTTTACGCATTAGGAGTCAAAATGGTTAAACCTGCTGCTTTGCCATTACAGAAGGCATGATGGTTCTGATTGTTGGTTGCCGTAATGCAGCTTGATTTTACGCAGTAGTAAATGAGTCTTGATCAGACGGAGATGTCGCCAGTGACTTCCTGACTCCAGTCACAGTCAGCCAATCAAGAAGAACATAAGCTTGTTTTGCCGAGCAGACGCCATTCGGTCCCAAAGGAATGAAGTGGAACGGGAAGATTGGAGAAACGAGCTCTATCCGAATCACACACATACTGACTTGAAAGAAATTGATAAATCATATGAATAAAATTGAAATTGATATATTTTCACCAAACCTCTGGTTTTCCTGCAATGTGTGGTGATGTGAAGGTACCCTGCTTTCTAACCCAGAAACCCACCAGGGCTTCATCAAGGTGTCTTACATGCGTACCTCATCATAGTCTTTCTTAAGAGGGGGTATTCATGTCAACGAAATATCTTATTTATTCTGCGTCATCTAATAACCCCTATCTGTTCTTGCTAAATGCCATTCGGTGTGGTATACGTCTATCGAAATTACGCCAATGGAAATTACAAATAAATGAAAGACCGGGAAAGACTGTAGCCAGAGATATGAGGCCCAACACGAATTACCTCCAACCCAGCGGGCCCCTTTCCCGTGATCCCTCATTCCGCGAGGCTGCTAGGATTATGGTGACGGACCACAGGTGGCGGAGAGGACCGGGAATATGCATAATGATTACGTCTAATGAGGGATCCGTGCTTTAGGGGATGAATTCAATTTTTCTTTACTCCGTTGAATTACCGTGACTGGGAAACACGTCCACCACGCATTTGTCATTCACTATGAGGAAGTCCCAATATCCATACTTGATATCATGTATTAGATGATACACTACTTGTGAATGTAACGGAAATTGGTGTTCAAAACTTGCCCTGTCGATCTAATATACATCACTTTAATTTTAAATTTAACTCAAGTTTCTCAAGAAATTGGTGACTTTCTATACTGAGTATATTCAAACATTTAAAATGTATATTATCTAGAAAAATATTTACCCGCCACCCTGATTGTGACGTAAGGACACAAATGCTCATGTAAACTCTAGTATTTATATATATGTAGTATTTATATATATTCTTTTCTTGCGTATTTTCGTTCTTGGACCCCCCCCCCTCCAATACACTTATATGAAACATTTTTTGTCGTGCAAAATTACTGACATTTATCTTTGGCCTAGGATGGGTGAAACTGCACCACAGTGTTCTGGACCTTATTCCTAAACCCCGCCCTTGGTGAAGGTCAAATTCACTTTAAACTGGCTCACCATGAATGAATAATCACCACACCTAGCTTGGGCTAACATTCGATCTTTTTCGTCAACTAAATATCCAAATATTGTTGATACAATAAAAAAAAACCCTTAGTTAAGTCTTAATCAACTAGAAAGGCCAATATTTGCTTTGGAGCAAATATAGCGATGGGTTCACCACATTTTACCACATGGCAGGGAAAGAATGAGAAACACAAGGGAAAACAATGCTTTACATCGATATAACTATAGTATGAAGTAACATACAACTAAGACTACAACAGTTGGATAGCTATCCCCTACATTATTGGTTAGGATTGCATAATGCAAACTGTTGATTTTCAAGATAAAAAGAAGCGTTCATAGCCCGCATTCCAATGCTGGAGCAGGAAAGCTTAAAATACCTACCAAAACACTTGAATACAGACATACTGTCAGTATGGCATGGCTCTGTGCAGGTGTAAATGAAGTTAAGCCAGTTAAATCCCAACAGCCAATCAGCAAGGAGAATAGAGGAAAGCTGCATGCCTATTGGTTGATGCCTTGCATGCCATTGTGATGACTCATGTCCAAATGTGGTAAACACTGCACACTTACACAGTAATACATTAGCTATTACACAGCCAAAAAACTCAAATAAAACCATTCTAAAAGCCTGTATCACAATAATTTAAAAAACGCCTAGGGGTATTTGCCCACTGTACCTCCATACCAAATTTCAGGACCTTAGGCCCTAAAATGAAGAAGCTGAATCCATTTAAAGATATGGCAGGAGGAGGAGGAGGAGGAGAAGAAGAAACATCAGAAAAAGCAATATGGTTTCACCACACCACTTCGTGGTGTGGTGAACCCATAAATATAGAGCTGACTGGATGTCAATACCAAAGTTGGATTTTTGTGTCGAGGCCAGAAACAAGAGTTGACTTCGCGATTCTAATCAAATTTTCCTCCGATAGTCCATAAACATTCTCCGTACATTACGATCGATATGTAGTAATTTAACTACAATAACAAAATCCTGCTTTATACATGTATATTTTCAACATGTAGAACGTGGACTTTCATCTCGAAGAGAAACCCTCTATTTGCAACATACTGAGCTACGTTAGTTGTAATTAATCATACTATGAAAACGTTGGTGAAGACTAGACATCCAGGTATACAATATTCAAAGGCAAATCAAACTCTACTACTGGATAAATTACGGAGATTACTTCAGTTAGTAAGTCTCCGGAAGTAATCTCCGTAATTTATCCAGTAGTAGAGTTGGATTTACCTTTGAACACACTATGAAAATGTACTAATGTTGATTAATCAACTGACAATAGTGATTCTCTAAGTCATGGTGGAATCGTGATGAGTAAAGACGTTTAGTATTGACATATGTAAGAAACTGCAGTAGACAACCTTACCGGACAGTAGATTGAGTTTGTAATGGTAAGAATTAGCATGCGTGCAATTTAGCCTTTCTGCGTCATACATAATTCATCCCATCTTATCACAGGCTCCATATTGTGACCTGTTCACCCAAGAAAAGGGGACGTTCCCCACAGTCAGGTAGACTGATGCACACATCACAATCTGGCTGCGAACTGGTGGCTTTAATAAAGACCGAGATACACGCGCAAATCGGTTGGGAAATGAGTTTGGAAGTTGGAAAGCATCACATGACCGGCCCACCGTCGGCGCAGGCATTACGGTGTGTTATTGCAGCGCCGCTGGCGATCATGCGTGTGACGTCTCTGAAAACGCCCGCCAGAAAAATCGAAAGGTTAGCGATCACTGCGGACGTCAGGCGCGCATATGGAAAATCTGCTCAATCTCGGCCGCCTAATACCCATGCTGTACGCGTCGACAATTTTCTTCGTTGTCGATTTATTTCTTTTTCTACCGAGAGACGAATGTCTCTTTCCGCGACTCCCAATGTCGGGAGATGGGACCACTGATGAGGTCGAGGTGGGATAATTGATTTCGGTGACGTGATAGGAATATCGGCGGCAAACATTCCATCTGATGCGCAGATCTGTTGGGAATTTTTAACGGGAATGAAAAACATAAGCAGACAGAGAAGTAAAGTGCCTGCGAGTTAAGTAGTAAAGAGCCCCACGCCCACATTGCATGAATAACATTACCGTGTCGAGGTGCCTATAAAAATTATCTGTATCGTCCAATTGCTCCCATTTTGCAGGGTGTGAATTAACACCTAAATGACGAGGAGAACGGTACAAGAACCCACCTTGGATAAGCTGGTGCGAGTCGCTCTTTGAGAAAAAAGAGGCTCAGTCTCTTGCGCCTTGTGAACTGATACGAAGATGACACGGTCCTGTGGCCAGCGCCGGTCCTGCTAGCTTCAATGGGAGGGTTAGGTAGTCTGAGATCCCTCCTCGGTTATCCCTTTAACACAACCATATCTTGCACGGTTGAGTGGGGAATTTCGTGTACGGAGGGAATGGTGGAGGCCGCACTTGTAGGAGAGTGATGATTTTCCGCAGAGTTGCAGCCGAAATCAGAAGGCTGCGTCCGCCATTCCAATCAGAATCCGCAATAGGGAGATTGAATGGCAGCAATGACGTCACCAGGAGCAGGGGGGCTCGTGACCCCGATTTGTCCTTGGGTTCAGGACGCTTCTACGCATGCTCAGAACGCCCACTGCTCATGATAATCAGGTGTAATTCCATTCATTTTATTTTCCTTCTTCCGTCCCAGAATTCTGTAAAATTACCACATCGCGGCTGTCCTATCCAGCCTAAACCAGTTGTTGTCAGACCATCTCTCTAACCCACCCCTGAGTAAACTCGTTATCGTACCATGGAGGAAAACGTCGTCTTTCATGTCAAATACACCCATGTTATCCTGGAAACCGCCATCCAGAGGCCCATTATGGGAGATCGCATAACTGCGCGCTACAACAAATAGGACCATGCAGATAAAGCACATCAACGGATTAAATACAGTGGTGGCGTTTATTCAATATTTGCATTCTCTACCAAGTTAACTTAAGTAGTTAAATTGGTCCAGCTCATGTACATATCAGACATATGTAGTCTGATATATTGATACGTGCACGTCCGAGTACATTTTGTTAAGAAGCCATGACAAGTGAATCGAGTGCCGTAGCTTCGCCGGTGGAAACATGCTTCCAGTGACGTCGCCAACAGATTTGTCTTCCTGTAGTTACCAATGCGAGATCGAGAGTTCATTTCCTGTTTGGAGCCAGGCAAATATAGATTACCATGCCATTAAGGAGGCAGCGTTTTGTGGGATTAAAATCTACTAGCCACAAAACCATTGTATATACGAGATTGCGGTCGTAGGTGAATATATAGCAGTTGGGGTCGAGCTAGCGTTTATAGGAATATTTCCAAGCATAGGTAAAGGTACGCGCGAATGACTCAGTCAATCACATTAGCAAATGTAAGAAGTAAGCCACAAGCTAGTTCAAATGCCAATATCTATACTGACCACAACAAGTCATATCCACATGTTATGTGAATCAGGGATGCATACAAACGGAGAACAATCTCAGTTGAAGTGACCTCTATTGATCACGCCCCGCCTTTCATGGGTAATCATTCAATATGACAACATAACGGCTGTTGTTACCGAGTTTATTTTCTTGGCAGATCAACCAATCCATTTGTGCTTCGACTAATAAAATCGTCTTAACAAAGTTTAAGATGAATTGGTTTTGATTTTCAAGAATGTTTTCCTGGATTACATTTGTCTAACGCGTTTTTCTAATGCCAATTATACAAGCTTGATATCATTTTAAAATATTGTTAAAATTAATCCCCACAGTTTGTTATCGTAAATACAACATGTACGTTTGGAAATGTTTTGCATTTATTGCTGTATACGACAGTGTTTCCCTCTGCGTTATGAATATTAATAACATTGGACGTCCCAGCGCGCAGATGGCTGCATGATGCGATCGATGGTGAATAGAAAATCGGATGGCGTCACCCGCCCCTGCATCCCTGCGTGCCTGGAATGGTGAAGCAATAGAATTGCAATGGCCGCTGGAATTTCTGCTGTCAGAGAAAAAAAAAAGAAAACAGGCGGCGTTTTGGACACCTCACGGTGGCTACGCTCAAAAATACGTCTACTGTGAAAATCTGAGGTGAGTCAAAAATAAATTGACAAAAATATGAATGTACTCCTGGCGGGACTTGAACCCGCAATCTTCGGTTCACACCGTACAGGTGACAACAACATGGTTACCGGCGTAGGAGACCGACGCCTTCTCCATTAGGCCACAGGAGCACCCGTTTTCTTCGTGTTGGAGAGACAGTACTTGGATGCTGCTTCCCGAGTCGAGAAGCTGGATGATTCCTCTAAATATTTAAAAGAAATCAGAAAATGTTTCGATATTGGACAAAGAAAGAACAGAGGAAACATTTTTGTGAATGGTGAGATGATACTGAGACGGTAGCGTCGACATTTATCCGATCAACCCTTTTAGGGAGATGAGACGAAATACATCATGGAACCACGTGATGTGAGCTAAATGTCAAGGGATCCTCATTAATGTTCTATGGCAGCGGAGGGCGTCAGGTGGACACAAAACACTGGCGACAAGCGATTGGTATCTTACTGTTAGGATAAATCAGAGAGAGAGATATATAATAGCCCAAACTGTGCATTCCCGACAAAGTAGAATCGCCATAAAATGTCAATGCTTTTTGCTGGTAAAGGGATGTACGTCTATTATGGTTTACGTGAATATGGTGCACAAATGGCGAGTGGCCGTGGCATATTTCATACCGGATACTGTATATTTGGATATGAAGATGTACAGTATACCATGCAAACATTCTTTGCGCGGGTAGGCTTACGCAGTGACATCAGTGGATCTGTATCTGTATAGACTATAGCCAGTATAACCGCCCATCGGCATAACACACCATCCAGTGGAAAAAGATAATGCCCAAACCCATGGGCCTCTTTCATATGAAAGCTAATTATATTATTTATGAATTGATAGGAAACCCCAATGTTGAGGCTCTCTACAGTGCTATTAAAAGTAATCAGGGGCGAGTTCTAGTTGGTATGTTAGTTTCGTATGCCCAGGCGCCGCCAAGTGTATACGACTGCGTGCATTTTGGCATCAGCATATCTGTCCTTGGGGCTGAACCGTAGATCACGCTTTAGTGCTGTTGTTGAGGATACTGTCCTTGGTGCTAAACTACAGCTTACCCTGTGGTACTGTCCTTGGTGCTGAACTACAGCTCACCCCGTGGTACTGTCCTTGGTGCTGAACTACAGCTCACCCTTGGTACTGTCCATGGTGCTGAACTACAGCTCACGCTGTGGTACTGTCCTTGGTGCTGAACTATAGCTCACCCCGTGGTACTGTCCTTGGTGCTGAACTACAGCTCACCCCGTGGTACTGTCCTTGGTGCTGAACTACAGCTCACCCCGTGGTACTGTCCTTGGTGCTGAGCTCATCCTGACAAGGCTTAAGGATAGTGATAAAGTAAGCTTTCACATCAAGTAGTTCTCTATCTTTTTGCCGTTTCTTGATTATATTCATGCCGAGCTGTGATGTGGAAATGTGAATCTAAACATATCACACCAAGATACCTAACTTAAAGACAATCTGTGAACAACACTTATTGCACATGAAGCATTTATTTTCTTTCAAAGGAAACACATAATCAATCAATCAATCACCCAGTCAATCAATCAATCAATCCATCAATCAATTAATCAATCAGCATTAGTCAAACGTCTTGGACACTCTTACTTTTCTTTCTTATTTTTCTTATTTTATCAGGTAAGTGTCACACGTGCGTTGCAAAAAGGTGACCAACGATGACTGGTCAAATATATATATCATTCTATTGCCTTCCTCATCTTATCCACATGGCAAATTTCACACCCCATGTCAGTACAACAGTCGATTGACAGACAGTAACTTATTGTTTCCACTTATACCACTACTTAACGATAAGCAAGCATAGCAGCCGCTAACTTCGTGACGAAGGTTAAACACGAAGAGTTGACAACTAACGATGCAACGAATGTTTCTCAATCACTGTGCCATAGCGGCATACAGTCTGGGTACCCAGTCGTCCCACTCTGCTTGGTAGAAGTTGCCGGCTACAGGATCACCCAGGTTGTACTTGGTGGCAAACACCCTGGTGTGGAACCGGCTCCTGTGTGCCATGGAGGTGTTGCCCAGTCTTCTTTCGTCAAACTCCAGTGTTCCCGGCTGCTTGTAGACCAGGAAGACGTACCGATGTAGGCCGCGTCCTCTGGGAGGTGCTGACCCGATGTACTGGGACAGAGTCTCTCCATCCTGGATCTCGTTCCCAGGGATGTTTCCTACCAGCCAATGGTGAAATTCTCGGAGCCTGGGGTTGGCCCGGCTGGGAGCGTCAGGGTCGGTCATGACAAGTGTATACAGGGCGCCGTCCTCCACTGGCCACGTCACCTGGGGCGGGGACTTTACTTGTGTTGGTGTTAGCACGTTTCCAAAGTCAACACTAACGTCTTCGTCAGTAACGTTATAGGTGACCTCCGCAGCAATGGTAGGTGCCGTGTCAACCACATCAGGCACGATGTCGTGCTGTCTGAAGGCGGCCGCCACTCCTGCAATGTCAGGTTCTGCAGTCATCTCCGTATCTGTTCTGTCAGACAAGATTGGGCGCCGCCTTCCTGGTCCTAGAATAGTAAAAAATATGATTGTAAGGAACATAGCCTAGTCGGCTCTTCACCGTCTCTGTAACATTTGCAAAAGCTGAGCAACTTTAGAGATCTTTAGAGCATTGGATTCCATGTCTTTAATTTCAAACTTTCGTCACGAGAATAAGTTTAATTCACCCGCGACTGTTTTTACTCGTCATAGATTTATCTGGTCTTGTCATTTGGATGATAAAATGATGCATATGGTAAAGCAATGTGTCTGGTTGAAATTCAAGACAGTCTATAAGATGCACAAGCTTAATTAACAGCGATGTGTAACATCAATGAATCTCACCTATTCTTGGTGTTGGATTTTGGCAGACCTTGACACACCCGTCCAAACAGCACTTCTGTCTCAATGGACATTCGAAGTCCCCCTCACACTGGTTCCTTCTCCCCCGTGAACAGTCTCTCGTCAGTAGCGGTGACGGTGCAGGACAGGTGCCTGGTTTACGTCTCATCGGTCCTGTCGAAAACACAAACGTTCCCGTTCATACAATTGTGAAAGACCAGAGCTCTTACTCGTGATAAGAGACAGAGGCCGGTTGACATCATGGATGACCAGTTCTGTAAGAGAATGCATGTCGTACCAAGCAAATCCAGCAAATGTATACCTGGCACTCACGTTGTTATGAGGCTCCTAAGAGACTTGATAACAAACGCCTAGCAGTACAAACTGCTAATGTGTTATAAACTTACTTCGGTTCAGCCGAATACATTCCCGAACTCCGCATCCATTGTCACAGCACTTCTCTCCCGGTGACACTCCACGTCCGTGGTACAGACCCGGTACAGCCTCGGTCCCGAGCACTCGGCTTCACTCGGCTTCGGGCGGACACGTGCCTGGTCTCTCAGGGAACGCTGACCGAGTCAATCAAACAAAAAACTTTATTTCATTTCTAAATAGTAATGTTTGGAATGCACAGCAGTCATATTTCTTAAGAGAAACCCCTACTTTTTGCAACGTAGTATCTGGCAGTCTTCGTTGAGTTGAATCTCATCGTATTTAGAACTTACGTCCGTCCGGTGAAGGCCTCCCCCTCACACGGACACATTCCTGTCCACAGCCGAGATCACAGCACTTCTCTACCCTGGTACAGTCCATGTCTGTGGTACAGACCCTGTACAGCCTCGGTCCTGAGCACTCGGCTTCACTCAGGCTTCGGGTGGGACA